CCCTCCCTTCAATATAACTTATTCCTCACATCCTTGTTGAGAATTAGATGAAGGAAGGAAGGCTGAGAGTCAAGGTCACCCTTGACCCTCAAGCTTCCTACAAATGAGGTACAGGTAGTCCTCGCGACAGTCCATTTAGTGACCAGTCAAAGCTACGACATTGAAAAGTGACTCGTGAAATCACGGGATCAAAATTCAGATACTTGGCAATCGGTTCATACTTATGACCATTGCTATGCCCCAAGGTCATGCAATCCCTTTTTGCAGGCTTTTGACAAGCAAAGTCAACGGGGAAGCCAGGCTCGCTTAACGAGCAGGTTACTAATTTATCAACGCCAATGATTCACTTAAGAACCGAGGCAAGAAAGGGCGAAAAACGAGGCAAAAACTCAGCCTTACAAATGTCTCGCTTAACAAGAGACAGCCTGGGCTCGTCACAAGTCTAGGACTACCTATATTTGAATCCACATCTCCACAGCCTTATTGACTGCCCCAATGCCCACCGCCTGTTAGTCCTCTGCCAAACGTTGCGCGGCCACTGACCTTGCTGATGACTTTATAAAAAGGGTGGCTTTCATCCATGGGGGGAGGTGGAATGTCATAAGATCGCCTCCAGATTTTGACCTGCTCTTCCCCATGCTTGGCTGCGGTCTCAGCCTTGTTGAGGCCTGTCAGTCCCCCGTAGTGGCGCTCGTTCAGGCGCCAGGTGCGTATGACAGGAACCCACATCTGGTCGCAGCCATCCATGATGTACCAGAGGGTGCGGATGGCTCGCTTCAGTACCGAGGTGTAGAAACAATCAAACTCATAGCCTGCTTCCTTGATGGCCTGGGCTCCCCGCTTGGCCTCCTCCTTCCCCTTTTCACTCAGCTCAGCATCGAACCAGCCGCAGAAACGGTTCTCCTGGTTCCATGTACTCTCGCCGTGGCGCACAATCACGAGGCGGTGGGTTGGCATTGTTCTGGAGGAAACAAACACCGTCGGCCTCAGCAAGGAGCCAGCACCGAAGGACGAATTTGGCTGCTGCCTGGAGCTACCCACACTGAGAATGACAGTTTTGATGCTATTTATACAGGTCTTCTGCTCTGCCCTGCCCATCTCTCCCCTCCTGACCAAGCAGCTCCATCTTCGGAGCCATTCATGCTGACGGAAGGGCAGCTCTCCCATTCTGGCTAAAGCTTCCTGATTAAAAATAGCAAGAAGATAACTTCTTCTCCTGAGTAGGCCAGAAATAGCAGAAGACTTGGCAGAGACTGAGAAGTTTCTGATCAGAGGCCTCTGGCTACAAATGAAAGAGAGGAACGGGATGGTGAGAACTCCATCACCACCCCCAGCTCTGTGAGCAATTGGGAACTGCCAGGAATCTCCCCTTTCTTAACTGCCACTTTATCACCCAGGCTTANCCCCCCCCCCAAATTAAACAGCTAGGAATTACAAAAATGCTATATTTTTTCAATGAAATAAGATACAAAATAGATGAGTTCAGCTTCTGTTTGACTTAACAAATCTGTTTTATTACTTAAAAGTAAAGCTCAATCCTCACTAGAAGGGACAGAATCTCATTTAGTGATATTTTTCATGTTATCTGCAACTTGCACTTGCAGCTTTTAATTTTGTTTTGAAGTATGGCCTCTGGCTGTGAAATGTTGTTGGTACTTAGAGGTGTAGATCATGATATATCAGTAGATGTTTGGATGGCTTGCAAAAGTTTAGCAAGAATTTTTAAAACACAGTTGTGCAGTGATTATAACAGCAAAATTTAGCAGCTCCTAAATTAGCTTTTGAAATGAACAAAAGTGTGTTTTAAACTCTTCTTTAAAAGCAAATGTATTACAAATATCCAAGAACAAATCAAGATTCTAGCAATCTAAACAGGGATCTAAACTAGGTTTAACTTCACAGGAAAGGGTCGCATAGGAAGACTGTGGATTGAGATCAGTTCTGCTACTGAATACAGATTCTGTTTTCTGAATTGGAGTATACTGTTGTTCAGTATCTTAATTCAAAATACTTGTCCCTGATAGCTGACTCAAACTGATGGTTCTTGGAAGTTCTGGTAAAAAACTAAAATAGGGCCAACTAATCTGGTGAATTTACTGCTGGGTATATGTGAGAAAAGATTCAAATAACATGTGCATGTTTTCCTTCAAGAGAGGAAGATTACACACACACACACACACACACACACAAACACACAATCCGATAACCCAGCATTGCCCGGGTATTTATTTATAAGGGGGAAATGTCCAGACCAAATATAATTTCTAATGTTGGATATTTCCTTTACCAGAGGGATCCCCCTTGTGGAGTACTGTGAAGCTGTTGGCAACTTCACTGCATTGTACAGTAGAAGCCATTTTACGGCAGTACAGTAGAAGCCATTGTAAGGCACAACAGGCTGCATCTTAACAGAACGCACACCCTGAGGGGTGTTAGGGGTGTCTTACCCCCACAGTATTTTTCTCCAGAGAATAAGTCATCTGTGTATCACATTTGGTTGAAATTGCTCAAGGTGTTTCAGTGTTATGCTTGAACACACACACACACACAGATGTATTTAAATGTTTCAACTGTTTTTCTTCTTAACTAGTTAAAAGGCTAATAAGTTAAATGCAGAGATAGAGTTCCCCATGCTGAGGTTTGACCCCGAAATGATTTGATTTGCCTCCCCTCCTTAATGACTTCTTCCAATTGCCTGGTTCACCATGAGGACTTCTCAATCTTATGCTGAAAACAGTGAGACTTGCTATGAATGCCAGAGTAGCAAAAGTTGGCTTCCTTAAGCAGTCTAAATCCTTCCATTGTAAGGATACACACTAACTTATCCTACACTGTGGGATATACTGCTTATCAAGGAAAACTGGAGGAGGGGAAAAGAATAACATGTTTTCATATGGTATCCAGATGTCGTTTTGCAAGCCTCAAGCTACAAACTCAGAAATCTCTGTTATTTCTGTTCATTTGAGATATACAAAAGCCGAGGCTTTCAATGCCCAGTGGTGACTTGACTGACACATAATGCTCTGCATTTGCCCTGTGTAGGAGAAATAATAATGGCTGTTCTAAGAAATAATAGTGGATATACTTTAAAGTCACTGGATATGTCAGGCCTTCATTTTGGTTGGCCTGTGCCCACATATCTTGCCCTGTCAGTAAGTAAAGCACACCATAATTTTTTCCATTTTTAGCAGACAGAATCTGAAGTTGGGCTAGAAAATAGGGGAAGACGGGATTTGGAAAATCCTGAGTACCAGATAATTGAGCAAAAAGATAACATAGTCTCCATAATCTATGGAGATTTTCAGTCATCCATGTCGTGGTTGTCCCAAAGACGCTTTTGCAAAAAGCAAACTGGATCTTCTTAATTTTGCTTTGAAGACATTTCGCTTCTCATCCAAGATGCTGAACTGAAGAAGCTTCTTGGATGAGAAGCAAAACGTCTCAAGCAAAAAAAAAAAAGGAAGTCCAGTTGCCTTTTGAAAAAGCACCTTTGGGATAACCCAGTGTAAAATCAACTGAGTATGATGCATTTATTCTAGGGATTACAGTCCCATTTTTAAAGAATAAACATTATTGTGACATTCTGGTAGGTCTTGTTCTCTGGAATATTACTTGTTTTTCATATATGCAAATTAAAATGTCTTCTTCTTTTATGAGCAGGGCATGAATATCCTTTTGGAATTAAAATGAGCCACATTCGTGACACTTTGCCCCTGACCCAGGGGTCAAAGGATGGGGATTGCCCTCTGGATCTTCAGGGAGCCTTCCTAATAGAACAGTTGCCCCGTGAGCATCAGTGTCAGTTCATTCTCAAGCCAAGTCGACTGACCACTGGGCATCAGTTGAATGGTGAGTATTCCCACTTACAAAAAGCTTCATTTAGCAAATATCCCCCAGCTCAACCAGTAGTATTGTAGGGGTAGCCCACTAGGTCATGCAGAATGCCTGTTGGGTTTATTATCGATTCCTATGACAAGTGGATTCCAGTTTTATATTGCAGAGGACGGTAGGATGTCATAATATTGCAGAATGGTAGGGTACTAGAGGATCTAAAACATGCTAAAACAGTGCATGCTTTCTCCTTAGATTGAAGAAGGTGGTGACCACAAGCATGGGTCCTCTAATATTTTCATCATTTGGGTCAATAACTAGAAGAAATGCTGGTCAGATTTGCAGATGTCACAAAGAAGAAAGTTCAGAACAATCTGAATAGAGAAATGGGCTTCACATTAATACAATTAAATTCAACATGGAAAATTCTTAATTTAGCAAACAAAAATCAAATGCACAAGTATTGATATCGTCTATACCAGGGGTGTCAAACACACGGCCCGCAGGCTGGATGCGTCATGCTCTGGCCTCGCCCCCACCCAGTTTAGCGATGGGGGGAAAGTTCCAATACGTCACGTGACAACGCCGTGACGGCACGAGTTTGATTCCCCTGGTCTATACCCCTCATCTTAACCCCTTAAACACAAATATTATTGGCTTTCCACAACAGGAATAGTCTTCTCTTCTAAAATAAACAAAAAGCAACACTTTACTTTCTTCCTTCTTTCTGGTTTTCTTTAGAGTTAAGCCAAAAGCCATTTAAACGGAAAAGATCAATTATAAACTGGGCCTTCTGGCGAGAGACAGGTGCTCCAGTGGACCATTTAGTTCCATCTCCAACATCTTCCAAAGCAGGAAAGCTGTTTGGCCTTTCCCTCTCGTCCATCTGTGAGAATGATAATCTGCCCAAACCCGTCTTGGTAAGTCTCTTCGACATCCTGAGCAGAATGATGGGAACTCTCTGGCTAAAGATGTGCACAAGTAGTCCTGGAACACATTTGGGCTGTTGAGAATATGTAGCAGTCAATCTCTTCATTGAGAAAGTACAAGTAGTCTATGAAGCACGACCACAGTTGAGCTCAAAATTTATGTTGCTGAACAAGACAGTTGTTAAGTGAATTTTGCCATTAAGTTAGCAACATGGTTGTTAAGTGGATCTTGTTTCCCCGTTGACTTTGCTTGTCATAAGGTTGCAAGCGGTGATCACATCACATCACACACACACACGATACCGCAACTGTCATAAACACGTGTCAGTTGCCAAGAGCCTGAATTCTGATCCCACGATCATGGGGATCAGTGGTGGGTTTCAATTTATTTTGCTACCAGTTCACTCATGCATGCGTAGAAGCATCTGGGGCAAACCGACAGAAACCTGCCTCTGATGGGGATGCTACAGTGGTCATAAGTGTGGAAAATGGTGATGAGACATATTTTTAAGTGCCGTTGTAACTGGGAATAGTTACTAAATAAACTTTTAAGTCGAGAACTATCCTTATTTGCCATTGTGGACATGACCATTGTGGACATGAAAGTATACTTGGGAAATCTAGTTTGTAGATGGCAAATTAGATCCTTCAAATGCTCTGCCAGCTTCTGTGGGGTCCTTATGTATGGCTCAAAAGCATTCTATGTGACATGCCAATCTTTAAAAAAAAAGGTGGGACAGAAGGTATGGTGAACATCAAGTAAAGTTCCTGCAGACATATTGGCACCCATAGGCAATAGATTGCTACCCCAGTTCTAGACAGGGAATAAGAAGATTTTTGTACATTATGGCAGGAGGAGCAAAGGAGCAATTAATAGGGGTTTGGAGCCTTTCTTAGGTCCCACTTGGTGAAACAGATCAAAATGCAAGTCAAATTTTGTGTAATCATTTGTACTATCGCATCTCCTATCATAAGATTATAATGGAATAAATATTTTCCGATTTCTCACTCCACAAACATCTGATTTCCAGGATGTTAGACTTTCCAGAGAAGAACTCTGTTGTTGTTTTGGGGAGCAAGGGAAAGTTTGGCATCAAAAACGGAAGTAACAAATTTATTAGCACGTTAGACTTTGTGGATCCCAGTTCATTTCATTAAAATATAAAGTCATTGTTGGCCAATCGATAAACGCATGGACATTGCTGTGATAGTGGAGCATGTAAGGCACTTGGTATTTGTACCTAATATTTTAGACCAGGGGTGTAAAACTCAAGGTCCGGGGGCTGGATCTGGCCCACGGGGTACTTAGATACGGCCTGTGGGGCCACCCTGGAAACAACGAAGTACCGGCCTGCAGTGCCTCTGTCAGCAAAAAAGGAGCTCGGTTGGGCTGCATATGGCCCTCCCGAGCTTCGTTTTCACTGGCAGAGGATTGCAAGAGGCTGTCGCAGCCTAAAATTGAGCTCGGGAGCCCACTTTCGCTGGCAGGGCACTCGGGCCACCACAGGCACCCCTGACACAATTGATGTTGAGCTGGCCACAGCCACCAGGGCCCCCTGAGGTTGAACACAACCCTGATGCGGCCCTCAATGAAATCAAGTTTTGAGACCCCTGTTTTAAACTATAATAAGAAAATATATGCTGTTTGCTATGAGGACTACTATTATAAGACCAATACACTATATCTATTACCTTAATAATCAACCAATATTACGACTTGTTCTTTTCTTAGATTTAGTCTTTCTGTTGAAATAGTAAAGGCTAAAGCATAGGTTGGCATGTATGTGCCAAAGATAATTTAGGAGCTTCTTTGAAGATTTCCCTTCCTTTTAGATCAACTTTGTTCCTTTTTCTTCTTCATGCTAAATGCAATTTCTGCATTATTTGTGTATCAGAGTTATTACAACTGTACATTTTCAAACTGTGGCTTCAAACTATGGTTGTAGAAGAAACATTCACCATTTACCTTACCGGTTTTAATGTATGCATAGCTCTCCCAAAGATTTACCATTTGGTGTTGCTTTATACAAATTAGATACACATATGCATTCTGCTTATCTTCCCCTTAAGGGTACAGGAATTTGTGCATAAACCACAACTCCCACAGTTACTATATTTGGAAATGAGACATGCCTCAACATATGGTTCCTTCCAAAATATCACATTTAAAGGTTCTTTTTTAAAACAACCTTGTAACTTATAACTCTGATAAGTTAAGTGTAACTAAAAATATGGTCATAAACTCTACTTTGGTTGTTGCACTGCAAAATTTGATCAGTATGAGGAATGATTTCAGATTAGCAAAGTACCAAATACTTAAAAAAGAAAAGGGACACAAATAGCTAAATGTGAATGATAAAGAGATGATGGAAGAAAGAGGCAGACTGAACATTTCAGAAGTTTCTTAAACATCCACCTAAGGCAGCATTCTAAACTACAGCAACTTGTAAGATGGATAGGCTTCAACTCCCAGAATTCCCCCAGTCAGCCTGACCCAGTGGGTTTGATGTATTTGCACATCTGAGCTTCAAAAGTGTATCCAGAAGTCTTAAAGATAGTGCATCCTAACTTCATTAATAGTAATTCGATCTGTAAAAAAACAACAATAGAGTTGACTTTGGAGATGGGGAAGGCATTAAGGAGGGATTTTCAGAAAAGAGTACAAAGTTCTAAGAAAAGAAAAAATGTGAAGAATAAACTGAATATAACCCACCCTTGATTTTATTTAACATTAGCCNGTATTTCAATTCTCTATTGTATGTTTCCGGTATGATTCCCAATATAAAAATCTCTGGTTTAAAGTCTATATGTTTTTGTATCATTTTTTTCAACTGTGTGGATTTTAGTCCAATATCTTTTAGCTTCTATGCATGTCCACCACATATGAACCCAGTATCTGATGACATTTCCAACACTTTTCCGATTTATTCTTGAACATTCTTGCTATTCTTGTCGGGGATAGGTGCCTCAGTGGGCTATTTTGTAATTCACAGCCTGATGTGATTTGGGGATTTGATTTTAGGTAGCAGTTTTTTGGGATCTTTCCAGAGGAAACTGATGGAAGAAAAATCTGGTCTGGTTCCAAGCAGAGCAGGGAGAAAGGCAGTGGGAATAAAATGCAAGGGTGATTAGAAAGAAGGACTCTGTTTATTGATGAGCAGTATGCAGTTCTGGGACAGCTGACAAATTGGTTGAATGAGTGGATGGATCTTTATAGGTTTCTGTGACTTTGAAGTTTGAACTGTTGTTGTGCAATGAAGGGGCTTTTTTATGTCTCTTGCTATTTCAATGGTGGTAGGTTAATCCTATCATGTCCTAAAACTCATGTCCTGTTCTTAGAATTTGTGTGCAGAATCTAAATTGTAATCCCAGCCTGGGAGAGCTGTGGCTGAAGATGTTTTGTTTGTGAATAGGCTGGCCTGCATTTCTTAATAGGCATAAAATATCCATCTCTAAAGATCTCAGGCATCTACTGGAAGCTATTTTACTACACAGGAAATTGGGGCTGCTTTCTGCCTTTAAGAGCATGTTTCTCCATTCTCCCTTTAGGGAAATGGAATATTCTGTCTCTTAATATCCCCAAAATATTTCATGGTGGCGGGGGTTTCCTACAAAACTTTGAGTATCTTGTTCCTTCCCAAAATCCAGAAAAAAAATCGCATTATTGGTACCCTACCAGAGGGCGGGGGGATGATTGTATATCCAATCTCGGCTGGCGGATTGCAAGTTCTCAAAAAACCTTGAGAGTAGAAATGGGGAAGAGATTGTTTTTCCCCAAACCATGAGTGGAATGGTAGCGTTCCACAAACGCGGGGAAAGATGTCATTTTTGGTACCAAATTCGCAAGCGCCGTCTTTGGCTTTCCAGAGCCGCTAGGGGGCGCGCTGGGAAAGAAAGCCATTGCGAGCAGGCGGGCGGGCGCTGCGGCGGCGAGAGCCTGCGGGATTGAAGGCTGGGCGGGAACGAAGCCTGGCTCGGAAAAGCCGGAAAGGGCGCTGTAGATTTCCACTGCCCCACTTGGGGTTGGGTTCTTCCCGGCGGCCTCGCCCGCCCACAGGGTCCAGTGAGTCAGCAGAGAGCCGGCTCCGTCTTCTTCCCCCGAGGGCTTTGCTCGGTTTCTGCAAGAAAGGGCGGCTGGCGTGGCTGCAAGATGGGAGCGGGGAGGGCTTTTTCTCCGCGCTGCACGGCTCGGCTGCATTTGCAAGCGTCCTGCTCGGCTAGCCTGGCGGTCACGCCCTGGCACGGAAGCGAGGCAGGGCCCAAAAGCCGCCATTTGGGGCTCCGACCAGGGCTGCGGAGAGGCGGGCGACGGACATCCCTGCCTTCTCCCCCCCCCCCCACCTTCCCGGGCTCCGCTTGTGTTGCATTGCGGCGGTTTCAGCCGCGCGGCCGCAAAACTGCGGGGCTTCTCCCGAGCAAGAGGGGGAAACGGCGCCAGACACGCTTTGTTGCAGCAAGAGCACTCAAGGGATCCCGCTGGGATGGGATCTCTACGGGGACCGATCGGCCTGCGGGAACTCCTAGAGATGCCTTAGCAGATCCCTTTCCCTTTACAACGCGGGAAACTCTTCTTCCCGGAGGGGCAGGGGAGGGTGGATGGTCTAATCTTATGTTTCCATTTCATCACATTGAGGCTGGTATGTTGGGACTACAATTCCCGTCTGCCTGGCCATGCTAGCTGGGGATGATTGCTCCCTTTTCCGATTTGGAGTTTGAAGGCAGTTTGAAATGTGGGGCGAAGCGACAGGCATGCTATCTTCTGCTGCTCTTACTCCAGTATCAAAGATCCTGGACAACCTCTGATGGACAGATTGGGGGGAAACCAGGACATTCTGCTGGGCTTGGTTGATTTCCTCCCCCCTTACAAGGACAGTTGCTTTCTGCTGGAAGACATAAATGCCCCTCCTAGCTGCATTCTTCCTTTCCAGCAGTAGCCAAGATAAGCATAGGAATTGAACTAGGAGGTCTTACTGCAAAACTGTATTGCAGGCTGCTGCCAATACAGCTGTGATGTGGAGCATTCAATCTTCCCTAGGGATCTTCAAGTTATGTTCCCATCCCCATATAGTATAGCCTTTATTGTCATTGTACAAAATAAATACAATGGAATTGGTTT